GGGTCTAGGACGTCGCTGCCTGTAGGTGTGTGGGGACCAGCCCGCAGTCCAGCCAGTGCAGATGGCGAGCAGCAAGCCAGGGCACCAGCCAGCTCTCAGAGTGCCGGGTGGCGCTCTGTGCTTGTCTGGGTTTCCCGGGCTGCTTGGGCCCCTGAGAACAGAAACGCGAGTGCGCACCCGCCCCCAGCTTTGGCAAGCTTCATGCTCCTTGAAAACAAAACATTTTACTTCTCTAGGCTGCAAGCATTTTATCAAAAACTCCAGTTCCCCCCAAAATGTCTGGGCACAGTAAGAGCAAGTGTGTGCCTTGTTTCTTTTTAGGAGATGTGCGTCCTCTGGGGACGGGGACGGGGACGGGGGCGGGGACACCAGCGCGCACCCAAAGGCACCGGCCTGCTGAGCCAGGCCTGGGGGAGGCCGGGCTGTGCTTGGTTTAAAAGGTTCCTGACAGTTCCGTGTGTTGGTAAGAAAGGAACTTCCAGGTCAATGGAAACATGAATGTCTACGCACATGCAGCCCTCAAACTAGATTCAGATTCATCTTCGGTTTCACGGAGCCAGCATTCAAAAAGGCCGGGAAAGTGTAGGCGCTCCTGTGGGCTTTTAACCTAGTGAGGAACTTTTCAGAATAATTTTCTTTCTGTGTCAGGAAATGGCTCACAGGACAACCTCATATTTTATGGTCCGTAGGAAATATTTCAGCCTTAGTGTTGTGCTAGTTTATCAGGAAAAATACGACGAATTGTCTTTCAATTATTAGTGGAAAAGAGGGGTATGGCTGAAAAAAATCAGTTGAATTAAAATATTACGATGGTTTACGGGTTTTGCCTCCCTAGCTCTGTTCTGCTTGGTTGGGGATTACTTTTTGTTGCTTGGGCCCGAGGTGTTTGCTTCAGGGAAGGTAGCGCTGGATTCAGGTGAAAAAGGAGTTGCCAACAACCTGCTGGAGCTGATCGGGCTGTTTATAGTGGCCGGCCAGAGGTCGCCACAGCCTTGGCCGGGTGGCTCAGTTGGTTAGACCCTCGTACAGATACACCGAGGTTGGGCGTTTGATCCCTGGTCAGGGCACATATAAGAATCAAACAATGGCCGAAACCGGTTTGGCTCAGTGGATAGAGCGTCGGCCTACGGACTGAAGGGTCCCAGGTTCGATTCCGGTCAAGGGCATGTACCTGGGTTGCGGGCACTTCCCCAGTGGGGGATGTGCAGGAGGCGGCTGATCGATGTTTCTCTCTCATCGATGTTTCTAACTCTCTATCTCTCTCCCTTCCTCTCTGTAAAAAATCAATAAAAATATATTTTAAAAAAAGAATCAAACAATGAAGTCAGGTTTAAAAAAATAATTTGTAAGTAAACATTTTAAATCGCTTTGGTTTGTAGCTAGGCTTATTATTGGAATATTGTGTAACTATATTTGGGGGCCAATTTTAATCTTTTAGGCAGAGTTGAATGATTAATACAGGCAACTCTATGGACATACATTAGATCAGATTATGTGAATTTAGTCTTGGGATCTTTTTAAAAAGATGAATAGGATTTGGGTGTGGAAATAAAGAATAGTTTTTTGTAGGAGCAGTTTGGCCACCTAAGGACATGCCATCCTAGGAAGAAAGGGCAGGAATATCCCGCACGTGGCATGCCGAGTAAGTACCTGTTTGTCTGGGCACTGCCCGTATCACCTTGGTTTCCTCAGGTCCCATGAGGGGTCCAGGCTGACAGGCTTCAGGTTGCCATGGCAGCAGCCTTGCAGGTCCTGGGTAGCCAGGCACCACATGGGTGCTAGGATTTCTCCCCGGAGCACAGTTTGTGCAGACAGCGGGCGGGCGGGAGGCAGGGTGGGGTGGGAGTGGGGGAGACCACTTTGCCAACACAGGCAGGGATTTGTCATCATTTCGGAATCCTGGAAGGTGTGAGCGTTTACCATTGTCCCTGGGTGGCTCTCGTCTTAGATATGAATCCCTGGGATGAAGAAAGAAACTCAGGGCCATCTTTGGCAAGCCCCTGCCTACTCAGATGTTTCAAGGGACAAGAAGATTCCTCTGCAGAAGTCCAGCTGGCCTTTGGCACAAGACCTCCCTAACCCTCTGCTGAGCTATGGGCTGGCATCATAATGCCCAACCATCACCCGTGGGCTCTCCGGGTGTCTCTGGGGCAGGTACAAACTCTTTTACATTTTTGATCTCGGGTGGTCAGACTACGAACATAGTACATGCTCAATTAAAACTGGGGGTGGACAAGAAACGGCAAGAGATAGGAGTAGCCCCAGGAACAGGTTCTTTGCTGCTGCTCACGGATGGCATGGGCACTCAGAAGAAGGTGCCAGGAAAGACAACTCCTGGTGGTGAGCAGAGGGAGGGGGTTCAGAAAGAGGCGCTGGGCATGCTTGGGGGACAACCTGCGGTGGGCTGAAGTGGTGGGCTCCTGGAGACACAACCAGCTGCGTCTCCAAGTGTGGCCACCCAGAGTTCCTTGCAAATCAGGAAAGACTTGGCCTTGCTGTCCCCGTTGGGTGGCTGCCAGAGGAAAGGGAGGGGTGCACCATTGCTTGCCCAGGGCGGCCCTTGTTTTGGTGGTGGGTGGGTTTGAACAGACCCAGCCCCTGTTCTTAAAAGGAGGGAGCAGGGTCAGACCGTCTGGGGAGATGGCTGGCGTCGTCGGATGAGCCAACTGAGTTTGTGCGCAGGGCGTCATGATGCCCCAAAGTGACGATTCCTAGAGTTTCAAGAATGCGACTTGCGAAGGGGAATAAAAGGCTACAGCAATCACCATGGGAAAATGAGACCCTCTTGGGCCTTCCTGATACTTCATTTATGGATCTGTGTTGCTGGGCTTCAACTTAGTGTGGGAGGGGCAGCCCTGCGCACAGGGGACTCAAAGGGTCCACACTAGTTCCTCTAGGGAGAGGTGTCTCCCTGACCCAGGTGGGTGTTCTGTGGGATCAAGAGTGCTGGCCAAGGTCAGCTTCAAAGACACAGGGTTCCCGGAAGACATTTCTGGGAGCCGGAGGGATGTCATTGTTTAGATGGGCAGGGACCAGGCCTGGAAGAAGAGGCTCACCCAGAGAGGTGGGCATGGCCAAGCGGCTGGACGACCCAAGGCTGAGCCAAGGGAGGGCACTGTTCCTACCGTCTCACAGGCAGCTGTGCCAGAGCTGATGCCAGAACGGCCCCTGCTGGGCGGACCTGAGAACAGCGCTCCCCTCCTCCTCTGACAATGCTGGCCCCCCGACCGGAGGCTCTGGTCGTGCACAGCGGGTGGCTGTGTGTGTGGCAGTGAGACACCCCACATTGACATTCTCCGTGGGGCCGTCAGCCAGGTCTGGGGTGTCAGTGGTGAACGAGGTCTGATCTTAGGCTCCTGGGCTATCTTGCTTCTTTGGACGGAAGTTTTATGATTTCTTAGAAACGATGATGAGTTCCACATCTCTTTCCCCAGTGTCTGTTACTTACCGCCCTTCCTATGCTTATAGAGATGGCTGGGTGACAGCACAGTATTCAGGCCCAGTGTGAGCACAGGGTTTATTCTGAAAATGCCCCGCTTCATCTGTCAGTGGAAACATGTCATTCTCTGAAATCAAGACCTGTGGCCTATGTGGTCGCACTTCTCTGGCCAACCACAGGGCACATTAGGGTTCGGGCCTCTGGGGAGGGGTGGGGAGCGTCTAAAAATAAGTCTGCAAGTCCCGTGTTCACTGGCGATCAGTCTCCATCACTTAGTCACGTGGGACCTCAGTGAACCCATCTGGTGTCTTGAAGTATTTTGTCCCCCTCACCCAGGACTCTGAACTAGGTGGATGCCGGAAGCTTCCTTTGACCAAGGCAATGAGGCCAAGTGAAAGTGTGACTCCTTTTGCATTTATTTGGGTTTTATGGTGGTGAACTTGGAGTTTCCCCTCCCACTGAGTTACCGTGGGTGCCATGCCGCTGCAGGGCTGCAAACCTTTGGCATGATCCGTGTTGCAGACGGCCTTCCCTAGTTTCCGACCCAGGGGCAAGTCCACCTCAACTTCCATCATGTATGTCTTGGCCATACAACCTCTCAGTGATTTGTTACAAATCTTTTCTCTCTCACGTCATTTCTAGGAGAGGAAACTCGATGTCATTTTCAGTAGAACTGAAGAGGGAACCTTTGGCTTTGGAAATGCTTCCTAGAAGCCCAGAGGCTCAGCTCAGTGACACTGAAGAGCGCGTTTCCTCTTGACTCATCGCAAAGCCCTGCTGTCTGGGCCCCTTCCATCCACCACTTCCGTCATCACCCATCTCTGCTGCCTCAGCCTCAGAAAGCAGCGGGCAGCCCAGTAACCACCCTTTCCTACTCTCGCTTCCCCTGCGGCTCTTTCCAAAGAACCTGTTGGTTTTTCAAGAGAAGCATGTACGTCCTTATTTGCATGTTAAGCTTTGCGCTGAGCTACTGGAGGGGGTCAGACTAGTGCGCTAACCCCAACAGTAGCTCAGGGTTCATCTATCACGTGGTCACTGCAGGTGGGAGTGGTGGGGGTGGTGGGAAGGAGGGGGGCACCAGCAGGGATACAGTGACAGCTCAGAGGTGAGTGCAGTCCTC